TTCATTTAAAAATCTAACTACATAAAAATATTATGGATATTTACTAAATACCTTTATAGGTGTACATACAAATCATTTTATCACCTAGGTAAATAGTTTGATTATATCGTATCACTAGCATTAATGAAGCTAATAAGGTTTTATCAAATTTTCCTGTTAATTCTTATCAAAGTAATGGATTTTCATATTAAAACAAACAAATGCTGAGTGCAACATGAATTAGCTTTAGTAATATTTTTTTTTACATTGACATTCGTCAATTTGACCAAACGCGACTAAAAGATTCATCAGTAAAAGTTTCAACAAAATATTTATATTAGATAATTAAATTTTTAAATGTTAAACCTTTTAAAATTTTAAATATTTTTTTTTTTAAATAGTTATTAGTTACCTTATAATGTTATTATTACATATTATTTTGACTAGTTAGTCACATGTTGATAATATTACTATGTAAATAACTAGTGATCTGTCTTGGTTTCCAACGGGTGCAATTTATATACCAACAGCACATCAGATTCATCAAAACTGTGAAGATTTATCCAATCGGGTTTTAAGCTTAAAAACATTTCCCACTTACTCTGTGCTATGACAGTGCCGCGAATAGTTCGAAGTCGAACGTGTTCAGACATACAGACGCTAAAGATAGCATTTCTATACTAATTTACAATTTTTCTATACTAATACTAGCTGACTGTGAATTTCTTATCGCCTCCAAATCAAATAATAAGTTCTTTTATATATGTAACACTTGTTTCAATAAAATATTCATTTCCGAGATGGAATTATCAACGATTATTAGCAAAATTATATAGAAAATAGTGTTTCTAATTAGGCTGATATTTTTTTAATTGAAATACTAGTTTGATACGTAAGATTTTTTGTGGTTACACGATCACTTGATGAAGAATCACTTATTAAAGGCTCTCTTATATAGAGCTTAGAAATACGCATCGAGAATAAAGTTCATACATTTTTCATCACAGAAAAAAATGCAGTTCTATAAAAAATCTAGCAATAATTTTAGTTTTGTGTACATATTTTATATATGTATAGATTACATAAAATATATTAGTCTTAAATGGATCCAAAAACTTATATTGTTATCTTTGTGATTTTTTTTTCTATCAAGCCAATTATTGAAATTATGTATCTATTTTTTTTCAAACAATCGATCATATGTCTAATTCACATAAAAAAATATTTGGAAAATATTAGCATAGGCAAACAATAAAATTGGTTTAAAATGAGGTAATTTCATAAAATCTTGCCTTAACTTTAAGCAAAAAAATTAATGAGTTGTAAATTAAACACAAGCGAATATTTTGTATCTGATATTATAATGATTGAATATTGATATGAAAACTATTATTTTATGCTTATATAATTTTATATTATATTATTTTATTTAATCCGATGTCATAAAAGGAGGTTATCAATTCGTGGTGTATATATGTAATTTTAATCAGTTATGTTATTGCAGAAACATATTAGTTTCCTACATTTATCGGTTTCGTTAGATAAATGTTCTATGTTGTGTTGAGTACGATATATACATAATAAACTAACCTCATTTTTTCATTCGTTTACACAAAATTTCTTCAATTTAAACTAAAAAAAAACAGTTGCAAGTTTAAAAGTAGACTATCAATTATCATTAATACATTCCCTAATCTATTTATCTGGGAGATCGTCTGGTAATCTCTCCTTATATAATGCAACTGACAAAGACAATCTTTTTATTATTCCATACTAATATTCTAGATGCAAAAGTCTGTGTATTTGTTTGTTACGCCTAAACCACTAAACCGAGTCGACCTTAAAAGACATAGGTTAACTTTCTTTGATAAGGCGGTTGAAATGGTAAAATGCATAAACACTTAATAAAAAGTTTATGAAAGTTAGTATTTGTCAATATTCAGGCATTTTATACGATATTCCTAATAAATAAATATTTGTTATAGCATTTATAGAATTACTGCCAAAGTAACTATACCAGGCGGACGAAGTCACGGGCAATAACTATTACATTAAAAATATAAATTAAAATATGAAACTGATGAATCGATGATTGTATTTTTGTACACTTTAATGGAACGAAAAAATATACACCAAAAATTACTTAACTTTACGTAGTTCACACAATAAATTAATTAGCATATCATTATAATATAAGGGCAGGTTTACAAAGTACACGCTACCACAACATACTTTCTGCAATCAATTTTTAACATAACTGCCAACAAGTTATGGCTTAAAGTCGAATGGAGAAGGTAAGTATAAGCACATAAGTCAGCTTATTTATCAACGATATAGTAATAATTAGTTCGAAGGTCTTAATATAAGTTTATTTGTATAACTAGTGATTATAAGAGAAAACATAAAACATTCTAATTATAAGGAATAGCTGATACTAAGACATTATGAGAAACTACAATTATTGTTAAATCCATAGTATATTATTTATAACATTAGATTCTGTGTCCACATAGAATTTCTTTACTGATATTATCAATATCAATACATATAAATATTTTAGTCTTCATTACTAAATGTAAAATTGATATAATTACCTTTGAAATTAAAATACTAAAAGGCTTTACTTTCTGCCCATAATCGTTTAATGGTAAAGTAAAATTTATTAATAAAAATCGCAAAGTATACCTAGAATTATATATCTTTAGTTCAGTCCAATGATGCTGAAGATGAATTTAAATTGTTAACAAAGTTAGTTACAACATCAAACGTAAGAAATATAATTAATAAGTACACTTTATCGTCTATGTGCAGTTAAATGAATGAATGCGAGAATTTCGTCATACTCCTTGAATTGAAGGTTTTTCTGCCAAATCGTGATAGTATGATGTTTGATGACGGTATATTGACTCAAAAGTAATTCGTGATTATCTTAGCGGAAACCTAACCTTCACATCATTATAATAAATATCATCATGTTTAACTAGATTTATGTAGTGTAATTCGACACATAGTGATATGGTAATGGTTACCGCAAATTAAGGGAAACATCCACTCTCTTTTGAAAATATAAGATACAATACAAAAACAAAACCAATATATTGTATTGTATTATTTAATCTGCATCAACTGTGTTTGTTTCAAAAGTTTTAGCACTTAAATAGTTTGAATGATCGGCAACGTTTTAATGGCGCGTATATACCGTAAACTAACAAAAATACGTGGAAAAAAAGGAAGAACACTTGTGTTGGAGATAAAATTATTTTAGTGAGAATGTTTAAATATAAGAAGGTTTTAACTAAAGTAAAGGTCACTTTTTCTCATTTAAGTGACTCTTTTGATAGAGCTCGCTCAAGTTTTTACTATAGTATATTTTATTTATACGCAATAATGCTAATATATTTGATATTACTGTAAAGAGCCAACCGTTTATTTGGTCACTTGGACTCGGATTCACCCAGTGCAGTAGCGTAATTTTGCATTAAATTTATTTAATAAACCTCGAGTAGATTGATTAGTTGGAACTTGGATTGTTTAATTAGAACTTGATTGGAATCAGTCACTTCGATTGCGAAAGTATACGAAGTCGTTTCACGCCTGAAGCATCTGGGACTCTATATTTTAAACTTACATACATTAGCAATCAAGAGTAAATAACAAGAGCTTCCTTTTAAATAAGTATTAACTTAAATTATCAGCTATAATTCGTATTTATGATAAATACAATATTTTTCTGTTTGTTCGTTTTTATGGAGTGCGCCAAGGTATACTCATAGTGAGAAAATCGTAATTATTAGATACATACATACAGCATATAATTACACAATTTTGTACATTTGCTATGTTTACTCACTATCTTTTGGCACAAATAATAAAAACGCTCATCAATCATTACACAGGATACAATGCATTGTCACAAATTTCTAATAAAACTCAAAAATCCACTTATCTGTAGAGATAAACAACCGACTTCTATCTAGCAAAATTGTAAAAGTGAAGTATTTGATTTTACATATTGGTATTACTGAAGCGTTTATGGACAGAAAGACAATTCTGTAGTGCCGAGCGAAAAATATTACGGTCATACACATTTATTAGTGTTGGCGACATCTTTACGGTTCAATTTACACCAGACATCTCCCCTTCCAATCGCGACGAGGACTTTCGATTTCGATCGCATCCTTGTTCTCGAGGCAAGTCAGCACTGACTAGACTCAAGTTCGGAGTTAATAACTGACAGTATAAACGATCCTTAATCAATGACACCAAGTCGTGCGTGTTAAAAGACCATATGTGAAAGTGCACTATATGTCATGAACTTTATGCATAGACAAAATGGAAATTATATTCTCAATATAATTACGTGATATGGTTTTTCTAAGTTTATTAGTACCAAAATTTTGATATTATCATGATAGAGTATCCACAATGTCCTGTGAATTGTTATCGTCTTAATCATCGTTTTTATTCTTTGAGCCTAATAATGACAATACAATATACATTGTAACCTTTCATAGGTTTTTACAAAGACCTGTATGATGGAAGTTATTTATTTGGTTAATAACCATTATTTGAGCCTACACATATGAGCAAGAATTTGCTTTATCATTTAAGTAAATACCATTGAAAGATAACAGATGTATTTTCTGTTTATTATTAACATACTAAGATTACTTATACATATTTATTTTTAATATAACATGTTTGAAATAAAAATAATTACAGATTTCACACCCAACTTTTCATATCAAAAAGGATAAATTATTAGATTTACTTAAATACACTTAGTAATATTAATATCCCTAAAATTAAACAAACATATCAGCACCATAACATAATTTTTTAGGTAACAAAAAGTTGAATGAACTTTTTATCGGTCCTTCTTCACCAACTTTGAAACGTTATAACAGTACAATAATCACTTACACAATGTAATATATGTACTAGGTTTATATAGTCATCTTTGGTGGCCACCCTCGATACTACACTAAAAATGAGTCTCAGGGATGTCTTCTCAGATACCGCTATACAGTATCAATCTTTGCATTGTTTACAAGTACATAACTAGGAGTGGGTTTACGCTTGAATGTGACATATGTATAGAGGAGACTTGCAAACACACTAATATTCAATCCTATGAAATTGAGCCATGAAAATACATAGTCTCCACCTATTACCATTCCCAAATATGTCACTAAAATATTCTTAAGGCATCCAATGATAGTGGTTGTTAAGGCACTATTGTACTGAGTACACAACATGACACTATATGATAAAACAAATCCCATCACACATGACATTAAAAATTGCACTAGAAATAATAAATCATTCCAGTGTGGGTATGCCACTGAGCGTTCTAAATCTCCCATGCACCAGGCAACTATTGCCGCAGGTATAATCATAAATAGGGCATTATAGTACATTAGTCCATACTTTCCAAGTTCCTTAGAATCTAATTTTTTCTTCATGTACACGCCATTAGCTGCAGTAAAAGCATCATTTAGTAATACAAGTGTGTACCCCGCTACTGAGAATGTAACATCATCTGCAGCAGCCAGCAAGGCACCCCCAACCATGGCCAGGACACTTGCTTGTACAGGCCAGGATGCTCTGACACCAAGGACAAATCTTTCACCCAACATTGTCATTAAAATACTAAATCGTCTCAGAGCTGTAAACATGGGCAAACTGAGTTCCTTTGTGCCGCCAAGTCCAGTGGCCATGTTACCTAAATAGATAATTGGTAAAGGCCAAATACGACGTGCTACTCCACTGTCCAATGGCGGGAATTGTACTAATTGCAGGTGTCTGCCGCTCCACAATACTAATATCGTCGCCGCCATCTGCCCCAATCCTAACACTTGATAGGATGGGAAAGCATAAGTTGTTAGCACAGTTTTATTAACAACTGTTATCATAAATGAAGCCAGTGCATAAAATGCAGCACTAAGAATCTTTTTCATCATCTGAGCTCTATCGGCCTCGGCCTCGTCTTGAATACTGTGTGTAGACATATCGATAGTCCACGTAATTAATTCGATAAATACAGTTCAGCTTACAATACCAGTAACGCATCGATCGTAAAACTTGTAAATTATCACGACTTGTAATTTTCGTGGTCTTTATCATTTATTGGCTTTTCTTCATAGCAGTAGCATTATAAGTCCCATCAGAGAAATAGTAAACTAAATTACCTAATGCACTCCTCGACCATACGTTTCACTTCACATCCACACATTTAGATAGGTTCAGTACGGTACACTTACCACTAATTACCACTTTACTAAATACAAAGCACAATTTAAGGACAGGTATCTACTGAATGAAAAATTCGCCACCCAAAGAGCACTAGTTTACCACTGTCAAATACGAGTGACAGATTTTTTTTTTTTTATTATTGAGCTTAACGGCTCTGGATTCAAGTCCTTTTGAGCCATACATTATTATAGGTATTAATAATAAAATTAAATCTTGACTCCAGTATTGAGAATGAATTTGTAAAGTGGTTTGTAGTTCTTGAATTCTTTTAGTAAGTCTTCGAGTTTACTGGGTACCGTTGTTTTCTTGTGTATTGATTCCAGGTCGCTGACAAGTATTAGTCGTTGTATGCCAAATCGTTTGCATTTCATTACCAGATGTTGGAAATCCTCGTCTTCGTTACAAACTGGACACTTCGGGCTATCTACCATTTTCAGTCTATGTAGGTGAGTGCGAGTCTGACCGTGACCAAATCTCATTCTATTTACGGTTGTTATGAATTGTCTGTTGGGCACTGTTTTTTTGTACCACCAAGGTTGGGCGGGCGGGCTTCCTTGGATCATTTTATACCACCGACCTTTTTCTTCACTAATAAGATTCCAATATTCTTTCCAGAGCAATGTGAGATGCTGGTTTGTTTTGGATTTGAAGTCTGTAAATGGAACTTTCATAGAAGAGGAGTGGTCTTCATCAGGTGTGTTTCTTGTTATTTCATCAGCTTTTTCATTCCCAGTGATGCCACTATGAGACTGTACCCATACGAAATGTATTCTCTTTCCCATATTACTAAAGTTATATAAGAGTTGTTTTATATAATAAACTAAATAATTTACATCATATTTACAGTTATTATTATTAAATGAATTTAATGCACTTTGGGAATCTGACAAAATCAAAAAGTCATTACTATTTATATTACTTATGTACAATAAGGCCTGATAAATGGCATAGCATTCGGCAGTGTATACAGAACAATCTTTAGGAATCTTAATGCATCTAGTTACACTTTGTTGTATATCATAGAAAGCTGAAGTTACTTTATCATCAGATTTTGACCCATCAGTATAAATTTTATAGAAACCTTTGTTTTCAATAAATTGCATTAATTCATTATTATTGTGTAATAAATCTGTATGCAATATAAAACTACAATTTGTTAATGCATTATAATCAAGCTTATATAAAGGCCACTGATTGTCTCTAAATAGGTTGTCATAGAACTTATGTATGTACACTGTTATTGCAAGTAATCCTGGAGTGATTCCAGATTTTAGTAATGATATATTGATATATGAATCTGTTTGTGTATTTTGTAATATTTGTGGTGGTAAAAGCCTTTTCTCTAAGCAATAATTTTTTGATGAAAGTATTTTTATACAGAATCTTTCAGCCAATTGTAACCGGCGAAATATCAAAGGTGGTATACAACTTTCAGTCTGCATGACATGTATGGGTGTTGAACACATTGCACCAGTTATTATTCTTAAAGCCTTATTTTGAATTGTATCTAACTTTTTAAGTAGAGTAAGATTAGCATTCATATATGCCAAACTACTGTAGTCGAAATGACTTCTAACAATGCTTTTGTATAGCATAGATAAGATTTGAGGGTCAGATCCCCAATGTACCCCTGCTAAGGATCGGAGAACATTTAAAGCTTTTGTAGCATTACCTAATATTTTATCAATGTGCTTCTGAAAGTTTAATTTAGTGTCCAGAAGTACACCTAGATATTTGTAATTTTGAACCCATGGCAAAGAAATATTATTGAAATTTATATAACTGTTAATTATGGGGTTTAAAACCTTTTTTGAGAATATCATAGCTGAACTTTTGGAACCACTTATTTCTAATTTTAACTTATTATTATAAAAACTATGAATTTGAAACATTGCTCTATTCAGTTTGTTAATTGCAATATTTACATCTTTATGTATAGTATAAACAAGGAGATCGTCTGCAAATTGTAAAAAATGTACATCTTTTTCTTTTAAAAATTGTTTGATCTGACAGGTATAAATATTGTATAATATAGGGGATATGGTTGCTCCTTGCATTGTTCCCTTATAGACTTTTCGTGGTTCGTGAAGTATATTGTTATATTTTAAATACATAATCCTTTCATAAAGAAAATTAAATATCCATTTATTTACTTTTCCAGGAATACCTATTTCAAACAGAACTTGTGTTAGTACAGAGGGATCCACATTATCAAATGCTCCTTTAATATCTAGGAATGTACATACTGTTGCAGAATGACTAAGGAAAGATGATTTTATGTCATGTATTAATGTTGTGAAGCTCTCTGTTGCACTACGACCTTTCCGGAAGCCAAATTGTTCTGCAGGTAATATATTGTTACTCTCTAAATAATAATCTAATCTTACTTTTAACATATTTTCAAACACTTTACCTAAACAGGAGGACAAAGATATAGGTCTATATGAATCACTGTCACCTGCGGGTTTATTGGATTTCAATATTGGAATCACACATTGTGTTTTCCAGGTAGATGGTATCATTTGTAATTCCCAAAGACTATTATAAATGTCGAGTAATTTTGTTTGTGCATTCTTGTGTAATTTTTTAATGAGAATGTAAGTTATATCGTCAAGGCCCGGACTGGTGTCTTTCCTAGATTTTAAAGAAATTTCAAGTTCTTCAAATGTAAATGGTTCTGTAAGAAAATGAGCATTTGAATGTCCATTAAAGTTAAAAGCTGTTTCCAGATTAACAAAATCTATGTTTTTTCCAGGAGCTGATAGTGGTGCATATTTTTCTAAGAAGTCTGAAATCCATTCATCATTCTTTGGCTGTTTCGGGGAAGATGCCCTTTTAAACCTTCTTATGTAATTCCAAATGTTACTTATTGGAGTATACCTATTAAAACTTTCACATAATTTCGCCCAACTATTTTTTTTCTTTTCCCTAAGCAGTAATTTTTTTGAAGCATCTATTTTTTTATACGAAATATAGTTTTCAATCGTTGGATTAGATCTGTAAAAATTTAATGCATCTTTACTTTTTTTGACTGCATCCTTACACTGATCATCCCACCAGGGGGCGGGCTTTTTAATAAGTGAGGGGATATCTTTTTTAAATTTCGGTATATATTTTTCTTTTAATTCATTTAGTATCATACAAAATCTTTCATAGGAGTTCATTGGATTAACATGACTTAAGACAACATTATTAAACGCATTTTCACTTTCTATTGTAAATCTATTCCAGTTAGCTTTACTATATATATATCGTTCATTCGGGGGTCCTACTACGTATTTTTCAATAGAGACCTGAATATCGACAATAGTTGGGAAGTGATAGCTTCCCATAGAATCTGAGTGTACGCTCCAGGTACATAAAGGAGCTACAGAAGGACTTATACAACTAACGTCAATTGCAGATGGATTATAGCCTGGTCGACCTACTGTGGTTGCTGAACCAGAGTTTAATATACACAAGTCACAATCATCAAATATATTGTAGATATCATTACCACGGCTGTTACATGTTAAACACCCAAATGCTACGTGATGAGCATTAAAGTCACCAGATACCATAATTGGTTTAGGTAGATCATTAATGACTTTCTTTAGCTTATTACTTTGGAAGCTCGGTCGACCTTGTTTCGAAGGAGGACAATAAATACATAATAATGTTAATTTCCCAGTGCCTGTATATAAAATTATAGCAACAGATTGTAACTCTTCATAAAATGGAACTGATAATATGGAATATTTATATGGGTCTTTAATTAAAATTGAAACTCCACCACGACCGCCTATACTAATTTGATTAATGCTGTTGTAATTGGGGATACGGAAATTGTGATTTTCTTTAAGCCAAGTTTCATTTAATAAACAAACATCTATATTGTTATTGCGAAGGTAATTAATAAGAAGAGGTTTTTTATTTTGAACACCTTCAATGTTATATTGAGATATTCTAATTAGACCTTGGTCCATTCGTGTTCAGGTTTTAAAGTTTTTATTAAAATATCTTGTATAACATTGCTAGTTATAGCTCTTTCCTCATTTCCAATAGTGACTAGAACGCCAACCAAAGCCTTACGAATAAAATCGTTTTTAATAATTTCGTCTATTAGTTTTTCGTTGGATAATTTTGGTACGGAGTCATTTGTGATATTGTCGGCGCTTGTTGAAGTATTAGGTACCGGGTTCAATCCCTGAGTTTTCTTTGGAAGTGCGGGTCTAATTTTAGGGGTTGGTAGTAGAGGGAAATTATTTTTATAGTTTTTTAATACATCATTCTTATTGATGTTGTCTCTTCCAGACGAAACAGCCTTAGAATAAGATACTTTGTTTTTTTTGTCCTCTATTTTTTGTTTTTTTAACGGACACTCACGAGAAATCGCTAAATGGGGGCCTTGACAATTAATACATCTCATTGTTTTGTCGGTACACTGTGAAAAGTGATGCTCTTCTGAGCAAATTGAACATTTCTGGGTAGATTTACAAATTTTCGCGCCATGATTGAATTTAAAACATTTGAAACATTGTAGTAAGGGTGCATTATATTCATGAACTTTAAATCTAAATAAATCTAAATATATATAATCGGGGAGTACATTTGAAAGAAAAGTTATACTGACAGTCTTAAAAGTTTTTAAAACGCCATTCTCTTTTTTGGTGAATCTGCGAACGGCTACGATTTCATATGGGGAACTTAGTTTTTTAAATAGCTCTTCATTGCTGATACTAGTGGGTACGAAACGTAGAACTCCTATAGTCTCAACTGCCGACGCTGGGATGTATGCCTTGAATTTATGTTTTACTAAGAATTCTTCATTTTGTAAAAAATTGTTGGCGTGGTTAGATTGTGAGAAGGTCACACAAATTTTATTTTGATTGACTCTTTTTATGTTAACAATGCCTTTAACTTCATTTTTGAAAAGATTGGTCGTGACGATCGGGTTGTTGTTTCCTAGTTTTTCGTGTTCTTTGTAACTTTCGACGAAAACACAATACTCAGCACTCACCGCATTATCAGCAAAAAGTCTTTTATATCCGTGTTTGATGAAAGGTTTATAAAAATCTTCCGAAGCATCCTTATCTGCATCGCTCGTTCTGTTGGGAGCTTTTCGTTTTTCGGTCCCGCCGGGCGGGTCATCCCCGTCCGGCATAATTATTTATATTTACAAATGTTAATAATTATTTTACACTATTATTTACAGAAATATACAAAAGAAAAGAAAATAAAATGAAATTATTAAAGAGAGTTTTAAAATTAGCGCCTAGTGCGTTCAAAAGCCCGCCAAAAAGTCCGAGTGACAGATCCGCTTCAATGTTGCCAGTATCTATCTGTAGATTAATTAAAAAATCATTAGTTCCTGAAATCAAACTAGATGTCGCTATGGTACTTTATTGATTTCTCCATGACAACTCTTACGGTTTTCTTTCATGTATAAAAGTAAATTAATTTTCAAAACTCAATAAGCAAAACTTATTCAATTTGTATTTTAAGCCAAGGTTAAGGTCAAGGCCGCAGATCTCAGAAAGAAGCAAAGGCAGCTATAGGTGAAGGGCAAAGCAAAATTTACTCCTCTGAGTGACTTCGATCAACGGGTGCTAGCCCTTTTTGGACCTGTAGCAGTGGAAAATCTGACTGGTGTTCGCATTTTCATTGAAGTTAGTAAATTTTATAAATTTTTTCAGATTTACTAGGTGGTCTTATAATTAACATATGTAAAAACATTTATATATTTTTATTACTGCCAAAAAAAGAAGATTAGAATTTGTTTATTTATTTTGACAACATGGATTATATAAATAATTTACATCCTACAATGTATTTGGATATATTTTTTTTACGTACTATTAATATAACAGCAGAACAAATAGAAAGGTCGAATTCAACGAAGTTCTATACTAAGCGGAATGCGCACATGTGCATTCCGCCTCAAAAGCATTCCAAAAAGTGAAGTGACATCAGGGAATAGCATCTCTTAACATAATAGATAATTCTGGACTAGATGTGAATACATTCACTGTATTATTTCTTGCGTTAGGTATAAAAAATTATCTAGCGAGCTCGAAAGAAGAAATATTTAATATTAGAAAATTATAATATTGATTCTGGGAGATTCTAACCATCAATCTTCTCTATGATTCTAATTAAGGAGGTGGAAATCGTGTGTTGGGTTTATACAATATATATATATATTTGTGATATATTATTGGGATTAGTACTAGTAGTTTTATTCTTATTATAAAGTTGATAATCATTGCGCATCGCTACTTTTAATTTTCATTTCAATGAGGAAATATTTAAAAAAGACATTAGTTTCCAAAATCTTGAAAATTAATTTTCAAAACTTAATAAACAACTTATATCCTATTATTACTTTTTCGTATTTGTATTGATATCTAAGTTTCAAACTACGCAAATTTCAGTTTTTTAATATGTTAGTTAAAAGGAACGGAAATGATTATCTTTGGTCTATTCGTTATCTGCAAAAATCAACTTTTGGTAGAGTCGCCATCTAGTGAGATACTTTTGAATGCTTTTGTTTTTCTTAAAATACTTTCTCATAATGTAAATAAAGGTTTTTATAAAAAAAAAATCCTAAAATTCCATACAATATTCATAGGCAATGTTAATATACATAAGTAATTAAATATGTTTCTTTTTAAAGGTATTTAAATGAAAAAGATATACAATAAAATTTTTATAACATCAAAAATAATTTCTTTACGTATCTTTATTATGTAAAAACTAGCTATTAAAATGAGACAAATAGCCTCTGTATTTGATATCTCGTTTAGTTCGCTATCTCATTATAAAGTATATTACGTCCATGATTACTAAATTATACAGAGATTATAAAAAATTATATCATTAAAAAATAATCTATCTATGAAGATTTATGGAGTTTATATTTATAGGATGAGTAATTTTTATAATAAGGCACCCGATTGATAGTTTAGTATATTTTTCAGTTTGCGGTAAAATCATCTAATATCGAGGATTATATTTTTTAAGTCTAGCAACCCTTCTCAGCCTAGCGATTATTAGCGATGAAGCGACATTTTGATTATTTTTTCCATTCCATGTAGTCTGTGAGTCCATCCATGTATTGCCATACCATTGTAAATTGTACCTATTACTACGAATACCGTCTATTTGTTTCACATTGTACCTACCTAATTATTCGCGGATGTCGTGGCCGAAAAGCTTTCGCGTAACTTTAAAAATGATTATTTAGAACAAGAAACTTATTTTCACGCTATAATTCAATCGTTTACGTGAGTAAAATTGCATCCGTGTACAAGTTTTCAGCAGTTGCGATGTTTCATTGTGTGGACGCATAGGCCTGAAAGTTGTGTACAGTTAGTCGCGAATAGGGCGTCGGCGTGTCTTAGTGGCAGTGGTGTTTTCAGGAAGAGATGGCGATGCCTGAGCAGTTTTCATTGCGATGGAATGACTTCCATTCGAATCTATCACAATCGTTCCACGCACTCTTAGAAGGCGAAGATCTGGTGGATGTGACGCTAGCTGCTGGTGGCCAGTATGTTCACGCACATAAACTCATACTCTCTGTATGCAGTCCATATTTCAAAGAACTCTTCAAGGTATGACTCATTGTTCATGTATTTTTCCTTATATTTATATGTTGAAAAGGATGCATAACTCCCATTTCAATCAATACATTGTACATGTAGGAATCAGAGCACTGATAGGTAATGTTGTTTGTTTACATTAAAGATAATACTTTGTGTTCATTGTAAATGGTCACTGAAACACTTATTTGTAGATTACAATTCCTTTGTTAATTGTATTGATTAGTAAATGTACATAGTGTGTTACTATGAAAAAAATATTGTTGATGTATCACCATTTGGTAATGTTTAAAATGCTAATTAGATAACAGTAATGCAAGTCATGATAATATATTTTCAATTTAAATATGAATTATTTACAAAATGTTTTGGAAAGTTGTATCCTTTTAACATATAACTTATTGAGCCTATAATGATTCTAATAATTACCTATTCTTAAGTATAAACAAGTTTTTCACATAAGTTTGAAGAATTTTGTTGCCTGTTTTTGTTTTTCATAACAGTAATTAAAAGATTGGAATTGATTACCCATAAAAATAGTTTAAACAGACTACAACCACTGTTTTTAAATCACAATTTTTTACATTTTAAAATCTAATACTGGTTGGCTGTGGTGAATGTAGACACCAATAACCGTAAATAAGTTTTTGCTTTTCACTTTTATGTATAAATACTACTTGTTAGTAAATCATCAGTATTTTTTAATTAGCATTATAGAAAGTCAGTATTTTTCAGTGTTTATAAACATTTAACAGAAATTAATTATTTTTTGATAAAGTTATGATGTTTTTTAATGTAAAATCAGCATGTTTGATTTGTTGTAACAGAAAATGGAACAGAGAAAATATTATTTACTTTTCTATTTTGAAACTCATTTTTATATATATGCTTATTTCTGAACACAAACAACATCCATAAAACATAATTTGATTTATCAGTTTGACCATAACCAAATTATAGTTATATATGATTGAATGTTTTGATTAAAACAAATATATATCATAGTTTTTGTTTTATATTATAAATTATTAATTTAGACATCAATAGATGGCACCAGTGGTATTTTTAAAAGGTGATAAACTAAAATATTTGAAAGTACTCAAATAGACAATTTGTTTATTAAGTCATTAATAATAAGAGAAAACAACTACTTTAATAACAAAAATATAGATTTCCTACTTATTTCTTATATTGTACTGATAGTCAAAGAACATCAAAATAATCAGATTTTTTCATGCCTTATTTTAAAAACAGAAGCAATTTTGCAATTTCTTTTTTACTGTCATGACATTTATAGGTCTTTGTTTTATTTATAAACAATAGGACAATGTTAGGCTCCAGCTTAGAGGTAATTTTGCATAAGCAAGTGCATAAAGTTAAAGTGGTAAATTAATAATGAAATTTAAGAAAAATTGTATTTATAAATTATAAAAGTAATAGCACTAGTTTTGTTATTTACGTTGTTAATTTTAGTACAGGCATATGATATTTTTTATGGTATTTAATTTATTTGAATTAAATCATTTCATTAAATTTATTATAAAAAAATATTAAAATTTATTATAAAAATCTATTTTAAGGTATTATGTAAGCAAACTTTATAATAATGATGAATAAAAATATTAAGAGAAATGATGTAGATTATTCCTTTATTGATTACCTATAGTGTTTATTTGTGACAGATGAATCCATGTGACCATCCAATCGTAATTCTGAAGGATGTGGCACATCAAGAGCTCAGACAACTACTTCAATTTATGTACCGTGGTGAAGTTCATGTTCGTCAACAAGAACTTTCTGGCTTCTTGCATAGTGCTGAACTACTACAAGTCAAGGGCTTGACTGGTGGTCGTGAGGTGATATTAAATTTGGATTTCTTTGTAGACAATATTCATTATCAGCCAATATGGTCAATTTACAATGATCATGTAGTGTTTTATAAAATAATAACCATTATTTTTATTGCTCCTAAAATTTACTTAAACAGTAAAAAAATGTTTGATCATTTCAGTGTATTAAATTCAATTTTGTTTCAATGTGTTCATTGTACATCACTATAAAGTAATCATTACCAGTTTGTAATCTGTCTTATTAGATTATAAACTTTCATAAGTTTAATGGTCTGTAAGATAACAAACTGAAGATCTAGTATTGAAAATGGTACATTTTTTTCTAATATATAATACATACATAAAAAAAGTGTTTTTTATTAAATTTCATAATCGATTTTGAAATTAAATTTTATTTTCATTTATAGCGTAGTGAATCTCCTCCACCAGTGTTGGAAGATCCTCCAAAACCAAAGTCTGTAGTGCAAGAGCCATCTAGCGATAGCCAACAGGAATGGGTGCCCGGTGGAGAGGACACCATTGCAACGGAGACACCAGCTGAGCCTAATGCTGCAAATGTAAAAGAAGAAGCTGCCAGAAGCCCACTCAAACGGTCTGTGTATGTCTATCAATTTTCAATATTTTGATATTAAAATTTATCAAAAGTACTTAATTTGGTTTTAGTGTGAAGTTTATCGTTCCCTGTAAATGTTATATATACATTATCATTTCGATCTACAGATTGTTGAAAAATACTCCGAATAAAAATAGCTATAATGTGAAGAAAAAGCCACGGCCAGCTACTAACGATAGTCCAACGCACCCTGAGAACTTCGAATTTTCTTACGACAAGTAAGTGACGTAACTAAGAAAGATTTGCATGTATCATTAAAAGATATATCGATAAAGCATGGAAATCGTGTGTTTGAATCAAGAATGTAGTCATATTTTTGTTAGTTTTTATTTCAAATAATAATATACAGCAGTGTCTTGAACTTGTTGTTATTTATTAACACTAAACTTCCACAACTAAACTTAGTGCTTACTACGGCTCTTATTTATAGTAATTAAAGTATATACCTTTCAGAAAAGGTTAATTTACATTATCTCAATAATAATTAGTAGTGTATGCTTATTTCCGCTTATTTCTTCTTTTTTTACACTTTTATGTTCTATTTTATTTTATTTCGTTTTCTTTTTATTTTTTTGCAGTGAACCCCTAATTGACTTCGACAACGATCTATTTCATAGTGTGATGGTATTACCAGAGTCTGCTACTGAATCAGGTAAGTGACACTGGATTTGCCACAAAGCTAACAATAAAGAAAAGTTCATTTTAAGTTTCTTGTATGATTTGCTTATATTTAATATTACTCATTACACTAACTTCAAAGTGTATTTTAAATAAAGTTACATATGTTTATGTTATCACATTTTTTGTTATTGCACTATTTTGTTTTTATTGTCAAGTCGAATTATAATTTCTGCATATTTATCAGAAGTTATGAGGCGATGCTAAGCTAGAAATGCCTTTAGGTTGGAATACTAAAACTGGCAGAGTGAAGTTACGTGGAGTAAAGTGCCCGTCTTGCCACCGGTTCTTTGCTAACCGATATAACCTGAAGGTGCACATTAGAGATAAACACGATCAGCGGGAGGGGACACTTCAGTGCGACATTTGCCAGAAACGTATGAGGAACCCGTCGTGCTTACGCGTTCACATGTATCACCATCGCAAACAAGCTGCTTACCTCGCGCAGATCAGCAACCAAGGCGACCAAATGAAACACGTGTATGTAAATTGTTTATTATTGATTTGGAACTACCAACTTATCTTGATACCCTTATAAAATAAAATGTTTTATACAACAAAGATATTGATAATGTATAAAACATAGACTAATTAAAATATTTGATTAAGGTTTTTTTATTGTTGTACTTTAATACATATACTTTAACACTAATAATATAAGATTTTTAGTGCCCTCCATCGAGTTATAAACAAAACGCGACTTAAGATGCAGGCGATGCTCGAAAACATATACATAGTTCTACTGCTGAGCCTCTTCTTGTTTCTGTGCTCGGTTGTTCGGTAGTGTGACATTACACGCTGAGGTACCGCGTGAAGCGAAATTAATCTAGCGAGTGCGTCTTCAAAGTCCCATAACTTTATTATTTATGTAAATATTTAAAAAAATATCACAGTATTTCTGATTACGCTCAATCTTTTATTTTAAATAAAAAAATTATAATAATAAACTTGTCAGTTATAAAGACATTTAGGTAAATAAAAAGACAAAAAGATAAATTGGTAAAACTTTGAAATTCTATTAGTTAGATAAGATTGGCCCTGGTAGTAAGATATGTTTCCCGCTTCGCTTTCTGTTATATTAGTGTGTTATGCTGTAGTAAAGCTTTCTTATGCTTTCTTATGTTGGAAGGTACAAACTATGTACCACCACGTTATATTATGATATATATTTACGCTCAAAGTAACAATAGCGTTACTGGTACGGAGTCCTTTCCTTTATAGTACAGTCGACGAAGGTAAAAAAGTGAAACTAGATATATATATATTTTTAATTTAGCTTGGATTTTCATAGGTATTTGAAATTAGTTTCTACTTGCCCTTTACTTCAAAGTTGCTTGGCAATTTATACTTAAAATGGTCATTATTGTCATATTAAAACATTTCTGCAAATAAATAAACTTTAAAACTTAAAGATAACTTTAAAACTGCATACATAATAAAAATAAAGTTACATATATTTATGTTATCACATTTTTTGTTATTGCACTATTTTGTTTTTAGTGTCAAGTCGAATTATAATTTCTGCGTATTTGTCATTTTGTTTTAGATATAGAAATTTACAAAGTTTTGAAGCAAATCTTTTTGCAGTTCTTTGATGGTATAACGCGAATCCGCGAAAATGTCAGAAATTATTACTAAGTAACTTGTATCTTATGAGTTTTTACTGATTTGGTTGTAGGGTGCAGAGTATGGTGAAATGGCGTAGTGAAGGATTAATTGGCAATGCTGATGCGAAGGAAGGCGAAAAGTGAGTATAATAAATCGTATACGAAGTATTTCCTTTCGATCTAATCACTTTAATAAAACGAACCGTGTATGAGATGTCAGTTATACAGTAGTTTGTCAAAAAAATATATCAACATTAACTATTGATTATTTATTATCTACATTATTGTCAGTACTACAATAGTGTATATAATTGATTTGATATTAATCATATGACTTTTGTTATAACAACCAATGTTATCTTTTGTTATAGATTTTTCTAGGGTTAGGTTGGGTTTTGTTAGGTTTTCTCTAAAGGGGCGGCCCAGGTGATTGATAAACACCTGGTCATCCCAAGTCCTGGTTAGTCAGGGAAGAGGCTCTGATAGACGCGGGACTCCTTTACTGTGAGAGTGGCCTTTGGTCTGAACGTGAACGTTTGGGCTGGGTGTGGACCACTCCTTGCTGGATCCTAGGTCCTTCTCCCAAAAGAGAGAGGGTGCACAAAGGGGGTTGAGTGGGTATGCCACACGCGTTTTGACTAGCTTTCAAATAAAATTAAATCATAATGATTTATTCAGTCTAGGCTGTTTCAAGCACTTGTGAAAGTCGAAACTCTATGCCATCGGTTCTCTCTGCAATTTACTTTCCACTATAATATTAGAAAAAATAAAAAAGAAAAACACTAAATAATTTAATATACAGTATAGTATAACAAAATAAAATAGACGTCCTACATCCAGCATTTTATTTATTTATTTAGCAAACGTTTACTTGTTTTTATTTTAATATAAAATTAGACGTATGTTATAAAGCTAATTGCATGACCATATTACGTTTGCAAGACCCAATGGCTATGGATTAATTAATAAATTAAATGCAATGTTATAATATTTCACTTTTAATATTAGGCCGTTACATTGAAAAAGTTTTTGGTATGGGAGGAACAAAAAATCGAATATTTTTAATATATTTATTTAATCATAGTATAAACCATTGTTATCTATGCACTTTTGCCATCTCATGGGTAGTTCATTATAAATAAATAAAAATAAATAAAATGTCAATATTATCAGTGTACTTTCATTTTTCTACAAATTATATATATATGTAACCTGTACATACTGCCCATCAAAGTTAAATTTGAAGATATTGATTTGGAAAACAAAAACAAGGAAAATAAATTTTACATACAAATATTCTTCTTAAAACTACTTTTGAATGCTGTGTTTTAGCTGATAAGAAGAACAAGCTAAAGAAACTCAGTATGAGTTCTTATATAATAAAAAATACAAAATAATTAAAAAGGTTTGCAGATTTTTAGTGAAAAGCATGTGTAAAATCAATACGCTGAGAGACGCAATTCAATTTTAAAGAATACTCCACTCTGGAAGAGTCATTTTATATTAAACAGTTCAATTCATTGAAATATTATTTTGATAGTATTTTTTAGAGTTCCGTACCCAAAGGATAAAATGGGAACCCTATTATCTATATCTCATGAACTGTGAACGTAAGACAGTTGAAATTGTCACAGATTATGTATTTATTTTGGCGCTTCAACAAAAAATACAAATAACTAGAATAAAATAATTATTTAAGGGGACTCCCATACAACGAACGTGATTTTAGTGCTTGTTTTTGCTCGATATTTACAGAATATGTATTTATTTAGTAACTTTAAAAATAAATAAATAAATTATAATTAACAAATAATTAAGGAGGCCACCATATAGCAAACGTGATTTTTCTTGCTCGTTTCCAGTACGGAATCCGCGAGCGCGAGACCATAATCTCAACAGCCAATTTGTTATTATTTAATTACAGACTTTATAATATAAACCAATAAGCTTGAACAGTTAGTATATTAATTTAATTGTAATATTACTTACTGCTCAATTTACAACATGTTTTAATTTAATTATGACTTTTTAGGGTACCTAACATGGCAATATGGCGTACCGAGGGGTCGATTGGAAACATAGATTGCAAGGATTTTGATAAGTAAGTACTTTTTTATACTTCCTTAATTGTTTTTTGTTGATGTTAAATAGAAATTGTATTTAATTATGTTACATTAAACAGTAAGTATGCAACCAATGCTCATGATGTGATCTTACATTGTAGTATCTTTAAACCTTGTGCGGTTGCCACTGGTACGAAATAAGTTTGTAGGTTATTATTATAATAGCAATGGTAGTTTATTAATTTTCTCTATCTAGCAACAAGTATTTTTTATGTGAAAAGGACAGTTGAAACTATTATTAGATCATTTATTAGTCTGCCTGTGTGTCTGTCATGATTTTTAATATTCCGTTAATAAATATGTTACACTGCACAGCTAAAGTTACGGTAGATATCTTAAAAATATTAAGATATTTCTTGTTTATCATCTTCATCAGCCAGTGCGGCTCGGTAGGTTGTAACGACTGTAGATGCAGCCGGGATCAACAGCTCAATATGCTTTCCAAAGCACGGAGGAGGTCGAGATGATAAATTTTCGGTCTCAAATCCTATGACCAGCTTTGTTGTTGCATAACATCGTGAGCATCGTTGTTGCTCAACATCTTCGCCGCTGAGCTCTTCCATTTCACGTTCCTTATATTATAATTGCATTTTATTATAGCTTGGAAGTACTGTTAGTTTCAGATGTGCTATGTTATATATGATAATTGTAACCTGACGTTGGTCTAGTGTGCATCAGTGGGCGTGGACAACTGAAATAGCCCGCAGACCAACGGTTCTGCCTTCTGACCATGAAGGGCATCATCTATTTATTTTATTATCGCTAACATTATGCATTAATACATTAAAACAGTTGGTTATTACCATTAAATATAACTTGATGCATGACACGCACTCATTGCATCTGAACTTGTCATAACACAAAAGATTCAGTAGGACATTTATGTACTGTGATAAAGATTTACAAAAACTACGAGTTCAAGACTAATTCTGGTTCGCCTATTCTGTGACCGGCCACAGCGAATGTTGTTTTGCTTTCTCAATTTCTGCAATTGCAGACCGCAAGCTTGCTGCTGCCGCATTGCACATTTGTATCTTTTCCTATATTTTATTGTATTGTATCATTCGGAAGAGCTGGAGAAGGAAGGTCATAATTAGCTGTGCTGCTTAGTGTGAATTAGTAGGTGTTAAGAATTCAATTGCAATTGGTTTTGGGAATACGGACGAGCTTGTGATAAGAACTACGTTCAGATCATAGGCTTAGTGTTATCGAGTTTGAGAGACAGATGAAGGAAGGTATATAGATGTCGTGGCTAAATCGTAGAAAATGATTTTATGAAGTGGCCGGCTGTATCATGAATTGGTCTATTCAACGATCTGGCCACGAAATGGCATGCTTTCGTCTTCCAATTCCGCGTTTACAAATGAGTGGCCAAACTGCTTCGACTAAATGCTTATTATACTTACGATTTGTAGGTGTAAGATATGTAGGAAAGCGCGAGCGCACCTCGGATTAGATACGAGAGGGAGTTAGGAGAAATTCTGGTAAAGAGTGAGTGAGACCTCAATACGAAGTGGTGAAATTTTGTAATACTTTAGATCCACGGTGGGCAACAGCTGGCCCGTGAGCCGGAACCGGCCCTCGAGACATTTTGAAAAACCTAATTTATAATAACATTGTCGTATTATTTCATGTCTCATATCTATCGCAAAAATTATGAGCGCTACAACACTACTTTAAAACGCAGCCCGCGAACGTATTTGCACACTAAAGTTTGACCCACAACATGTCCAAGGTTGCCCATACCTGCTTTAGAGGGTAATTTTCCAGTAGTACAAAGCTAATTGTATTTTATCTTGTAGTATATATAGAAATTATTAGCTAAGCGAATTCGGTCGATACGTTAGCGAATTTATGCAAATAATTAACTAATATGTTGCTCAACCATGCGAATGTACCTTTAAATTAGCAATAATTCTTGAAGAATATATAATGTATCGTAGTAATAATATAACCTTAATATTAGCCAGTCAGTTTGGTTTTTTGTAAATTTCAAAGAAAACCATAACAATATCGTTACATTACGAAATGACTTGTATATTTTTTATGGTTTAGTTATTTTAAAAGTGATTTATCGATATATGTGTTGTGTTAGTTTGAACCGAGTTATTTTATATTAACCTAATACAAATTTTTTCAGCTTACCACCACCGGGCACTGCTGAATCAACCGCCAATGTGGACGGCGAAGTAGCAAACACCGAACTCGTTGCCAAAGCGGAATCCGAGCCGCCGACGGTATGATTAAAAACCAATATAGTGTACGCGCGCTCCGATCTCGCGGACCCAACGCATCTCTTCAAAATGTTTACGCAACAGTGTTATTGGAAGAAGTGCGTCTTCAAAACCAAATATCACAACACCCAAACGCAACTATAATGTGTATTGCACTCACAATAGGGTATTTGACTAATTTGCAAAGTTAGTTTTGCGCCGCGTATGACGTCATACGCTAGTAAATAAGCAAACCTCATATTAAAATCGTCAATAGGAGATCATGTTTACTAGCGTCTGACGTCATCAGAGTTGCAACAGTTTACAACAAGGCATTTTCGTATCAGATAAAATGACAAAATAAGATTTAATTTTTATTTTGTGTAATCTGCGTAAATTATACATATTTTCGTTTAAAATAAAGTGAAATATATGTTATTACGCTATTATCTCATAGGATGACCGCAATATTTCATATATTAATATTGTCAAATACCCTATTAAGGCCTAGCTGTGTCGAAGTTTAATGGCTAGATTCGTAAGTAGCGGGCGTGGCACTCTTATATTGTCTCGTATCTGAATACCCCTAGTTTTTTATAAAGGAGAAATGTGTCTCGATTATTTACGATGTCGTATGTGCGTTTCATCAACCATAGGTTTGGCAAGTATAGTCTTTAACAGATTTTGGATAATTGTATTTTGAAACGCCGAGGTTGTCGTCAGTATTTACGCGGTGCTCATTAAAGATTTTTGATGTTATTTTTGATAATGTATATTGCGATTTTGAAAAGCAAAAAGTTTAGATGAAGTCCCATTACACATTTAAAAATGGGACGATAATTAAAAGTAAATTATAAATTTTTAAATTCAACATTGAATTATGAGATTATCGGAGTTTACTCAGTTAGTTAGTGTAGCTTTAGTATAAATCGATAAAAGAGGCACGACCTCGAGTTGCACTGTTGTGTCTAACAGACTTTTGCACATTCCACCACACAAGTTCCAAAGACTGAAGCATCCGTAGGAAACTATATAAGTAAATAAATAGACGCGAGTTTGCAAATTGTAAATGTATAATTTATCTTAATTCTTACCAAACAGGGTGTGTAACATTATGAAGGTTAAATAACTAATTTCACTTTATGCACTTGGTGCTTTGTGCGCGTGAAGTGCGTAGCTTTGTAAATAAATAAGCAAGTAACAAAACATTTTTGTATTTTAATGAAATTAGTTTCATTTTCTATAGATTTGTGTAACCTAAATTATATATTTTTTAGGGGAAAAGGTTACTCAAATTATAGCATTCGTTTTTGTTTGATAATTCTTTTAAATGATTGAATGCCCGTCGTTTATGAGTACCTACTATTTCGCTGATATTGTAATGATATCTTCAGCAGACGACCTAAAAAGAAAGTCCTAACACTTTTACAAAAATATTTTAGGTGATATTATGAAGAAACTGCCAGCTTGTTTAGAGACAGGCAGCTTTATCAATAATGAAAAAAAAAATTACAATGATTTAAGTGTTAACACATCCAAAACAGTATTCAAACGTTATTTTTTAAGTTATTTTTAAGAAATCGGGAGGAATTTCTTATTTGTACTTGAATTTATATGTATTATTTGAAGTATTATTCACAGTATCACCTGGAATATTAAAAAAGAAATGTGTAGTACATATTCACACCAATGTACACACCCCACAATATAATTCAAAGAAACACCAGAGCTCATTTATGTGCTCTTAAACCGCCTTTACACAACCCACAAATATCTCACAAAAATTAATTATATCGCGTGTCACACATTATGAAATTGACGTTAATCACTATATTATAAAGCTGCGAGATACACAGAATTGAAGCTAATAGTTTTTCTTTGATAACATTAAAGCAATTTGGCATCTTCGATTCTCTACTATTTCGATCGCGAATAAATTATTAGATATAATTCTATTTTCTTTAAAAAGCAAGTTCTGTGTATATCTAAACCAACATTTTTAGGAATTTTAATACTGGTTTAGTTGATTTCATAATGTGTAATAGTTGTATCACAAATATGTTTATAAAAGTACAATTTTTTTTTGTAGGCAGCTAGCAAGAGGTAGTTATTATTATTTTTAAAATGTGTTGCCATTCATAAAAAGTGTACAGATAAAATTGTTTATTATAATTTACGTTGGAGTCGAATCTCTAAATATGTTCGGCTTGGCGCATCATCGACAAAACATATAACCTTACAGTACAAAATAAGATATTTGTGTATGATAAATAATCATTTATATGAATGTATGCTTTACTTAGTTTTAAGTTTTTTTTTAATAACGTTAACGTTTAGGTCACGTTTAGTTAAGAATAAAACAATTTTATACGTACAATATTAGTTGATATAAATGTATACAGTTTTTTGACAATTCACAATAATTATGTCGACCATTATGTAAGGGTTGTTTAGGATTGATAAGAATTTTCTATACCTCAACGTTAGAAATGACTGTTTTTTTTTGTAAGATAAATAGTCTTTGGTTCACCGTGTGTTTATATCAAAGCGTATAGTAAAAAAAAACCGTCATAATAAATTCAAGGTGTCTATGAGATAAATGTGGTAAGGCAATAAAGGTATCAATTACAACGCTAACGCGACCGTTGCGTTAGATTCGTATGAATACGTAGGTGTTGAACAAGTTGTGAATTTCGTATTTGGAAATTAAGCTTTAATGTATGGAGACACATCCCATCGTAATGAAGTCGGAAGTAATTTGTAGTCATTAGCTCTCTTCGAAGGTGAACCTGTGGACGCAGGTAATAGAGAATGTAATCAATCGTAGGCGTATGTCGGTGTACCTAGCGGTTTTTTTGTAAATTGTTAATACAACGACGTCTTTAATGAATGAGCAGTAATATTATCTTTAGATGAAGGACGTCATCGTGGAATTTATAATGTAGGTATATTTTGCATCTCGTCATATGGTCACCATAGCCTGTGGGAGGTTAAATGTTTTAGGTTTTTTGTTTAAGTATATTTTACACGTCCGATTTTTTTTGTGTATTTTACGGTTTGGGTATTTCTATTCTAACCATTAACTTTAAGGGGTAAAAGAACTAACATCTTTTTATAAAATGTAAGAATATTATCTACATTCCACTAGATGTAAGTATGTGTAATCAACCTGATATTATGTTAGTTTTTATAACAAAGTTTTTTTTTATTTATAAGATTATATTGTAGTGATTTCAGTTAAAAAAATTATATTAAAGGAGATTATTTTAAAATCTTAAGTAACATTCCACGATTTGGTAGCTGTATAATATACGAGTATATAGGTTTTAGCATTTATAATATTTTTTACCAAATTTTTTTTATACCAATGCTGTTTACATTATAGTAGATGACGGGATCGAGTCTCAGCTTTTTTTTTGTTGAAATCCAACACCCTGATTGCATTCCCACTTTGAGATTTTTTGATGTTTGTTTATGGTTGCATTGTGCGGTGTTGAGATTTCTTAAGTTATAAATAATATATGGTTTTAATACTCAAAACGTGTGGCAAAGAAGTTTGTCTTTTCTGAGGGCTTTCAGATAATAATTGTTCGACCCATAGTTTTATTAATTTATCGTCTAAAATTAAAATTTATGACAATACATTTTTTAACATGTTACATTAACATCGATCATTTGAACTGTTGAATTGTAACAATGTTAACATTTATTATAAATATGTAATGATTATTAATAATTATATGATTTCAATTGAATTTGATTGTATGGGGTTGATACCGATTTGTACCTTCCGAATTATCATATTTAACATTCCATTGTTAATTGAACATTCCGAATCATTGTTAAAAGTATATTTCTTAAAATTTTGTGCTCAAATAAAAATGTCTATTTATTATATACATTAATATTATGATCTGTATGTCCATGACATTTCTAGTGTAATCTATTATAGTATATAAGTTATACGACCCGCCTCACACTCATAGTATATGTTGTAGTCTAACTCTACATGACGTAGGAGATGTTAAAAGCAATAACATTTGTATGTTTATAATATCCCTGTATCCCACCCGAGTCGGTCATGTGGAGTCTGTCAGATATTGACACTGGACAGGCCGTGGTTGTCATTATATATCCTTCGCCATAATAACTATTATATAGTTTAGTTTATATATTATTATGATAAAATATGTACCTTTAAAGAGACAATCTCTATGTGTCTTAATATAAGTCTTCGTTTTTCTTGTACGATTCATTCGTTAGTCAATAATTGATATTCTCGATATAATTATTGATTCTAAGGTAATATATTTTCATAAAGTCAACAAAAGGACGATATCTGTCGTAATTTGTCGTATTTTTGGACAGTAAGAGATTATTTTCTATATTGATGTTGAAGACGTAATACGTTTGATTGAATGTAAATGAGACAATAAATTGTCTATGATTGGCCAGTATTTATCAAGACTAAAAGTTCAGTACGCAGTGATATTATTCGTCCGACAAGAGATAGAATCTCATGAAACAAGGCTGCTTTTTTGAAAATATAAAAGAGACTTGTAGTTTTAAAAACTTTTAAGCAATCAAGTGTTGTGGTTCATGTAATAATTTAAACTGATACGAAATTCAGGTTGTGTTATTTATGTCCTTATTCTAATACGGTCAAACGTTCTTGGATATGAGAGTATTTGAAAAAAATCTGCTTATAGTCGGAGGTTTGTATTTTCATAAATATTAAGGCATATCATAAATAATAAAAAAAACCTTGTACGACAATTGACATTGTAAAATGTATCATAATATTATCCTTAAAATTATATATTAGGAGTTCTCTATTGAGGCAATAGTCTTGTGTACCATTAAAAAAGTTAAAGAAGATCTTTATAAATAGTTTAATAAGACCGAATTTACTTTTGAACAGTTGGAGATTTTATTTTGTTGGAAGGACCCGATTCTCACGTAAATTCTTTTTGATGAAATCATAACATAAGCGATTAGTTTATGATTATGTGTTTACATGAACGTACACTCGTTGATACTATATAAATTAAGTGTTTTATAGAGTTACAGTTAATTTGAATGTGTCATTCCGAGATTGCGACGATGTTGATATTGTCATTACAACATGAACAACAACGAATTAATAACCGTAAAAATGTAATGCTCTCTATTATGTGATTATTTACAAATTATATTAAGCGTATCTCTTTGTTTCCGTCTCATTATACAAACCTTAGATTGGTAGGTTTTTAGTTAGACTGTTTATTGTCTTTATTTTTTCAAGAAGTGGTTCGTGTCCTTTTTACTTCATTTATGTCAAGACCGAACTTTTTTTTATGACACGGACTGCTTTTGTATACAGTTTACTTTTTATTTAGAACTTTGCTTCGATATATTCTTTATCACCTGTCTGTATATTTTGTCATATGAATGTGGTAATGTGGTTTATTTTTTTATATTATATACGTATATATACGATGAACTGTATCTTGAATTTGCTATGTGCCCTCGATTTATACTCAAAATCTATTATACTTTATATTAGAATTACAATAATAAATTATAATTTTGTATGCGTGTTGTTTTATTTACTCCTTAACAATAAAACTTGATATTTCTATGGATTATTTATTAGTAATGTTGGAAATTGTTGTTCTTGTTATTTGAATATTGGCTTAACGCTGCGAATAATCAAATCATTAACTAAATTATGTGGGAGACTGCATTGCGATTTTTTTAAATAAAATTTGCTAAGCGACGTTATGTTGTCTACTCAGATTCCCTCTTTCAAAGCGGCTGTACTATTTACTTTGCATTGCGAATTTTGTCAAAAATATGTAAGAATAACTAACATTAATCATATTGATGGGTTTCTGCAAACCGAATTCATATAGAGCACTAAATATGTAGTAAAATTTTATTATTATTGACTTTTGGCTGAAGTATGCTATTCCTAGGTACTGGCAATTTCCTTTCCGGTGGCAAGTGGCGCTTTTACAAATTACGTACATTTAGAATTTAATTCGAGCAATAAGCAATAAACAATTTGTTGGAAGCGCTTTTAAATCGTCCATATTTATTTTTCTATCATTTGTTCACGATGTGTTTTGGCTGATAAGAAGAATTAGCGAAGGAAGTTAACGACGTTATGTGTCAAATTAATAAGTATTACAAAAAAAAAAACAATATTTGCTAAACGTACAATGACGAAAAAAGTTGTTGGTTAGTTTACGAAATAAAAGGGCTATATATGCTTGGACGAAGATAAATTCAAGCATTCGTTTGTTCGTGGGACGTGACAACCTAATAATAAGTACATATACATAACACTTGTAAATATGTTCATTTATGTATGAGATTTTATATTAATAATACTATATATACTGGGTGGTACTGTACAGGTACTCAGGGTGGGTGTAATGGCCAGTTTAGAGTTTAATGCTATAAATACTGAGTTCTTGAGCCATATAATTTAATTAATAAATAAAACATTGCAGAATTTAAGTCCTTAGCCAATACATGCCAGCTCGTATTCTTGTGTAGTCCGGTAATCCCTCTGTGGCACCTACTGCCGCTACAGCAGGACATTTATCGTAAATATATCTGTTGCAAACTTCTTTGACATCTTTCGAGAATACTTTATCAATAGAACTGATACGGTCGTGTAAAGAAGGACGCTCTCCGTAGTTGAGCATCCACCGGCCGATCTCGTGAAATGTACCTTTGCAACTTTCGGTTTTTGATAATAATTTAGTTTTAAGCTCTCTCTTCGCTCTCTCTACTTCTGAATCGGTTACTGTTGTGCATAGTCTCATCCACTCACTTTGAATCGTGTACAGGATGTCTTCCAATTGTAAGGTTGACGCAATAAATTGAGCTCCCCAAAGACCTGTATCTCTGTAGTTAATATTAAATGATTTATAGGAATCACAGAAATGTCCTAACGATGATGCTCGAGCTACAGGTGAGGAGAGTTTAATACCATGTGGTTGCGACTTGTCCCAACCGCCTACTACGTAGGAAGCCACCTCCATCACTACATTGTCAGGATCGCAGAAACTTGGCCCCTCTACAGCTACCGCTACGTTGGCTCTAGGCATCGAATCATCTCTGTACCTCACTTCAGACCCTGTAAATCTGTATTCTCCGGTGTCGATACATTTTGTTGGTTCGAGTTTGCTTAAATAAGATTCAGCCAAACAAACTATTTGTTCGTGTTTCGTACCACCAACACTGATTAGTACGGTTCTGGTGGGATCAAAAACTTTATTTAAATATCGGCAAATGGTGCCATGATTAAAATTATAGAGATTGCTACTTACTCCCATGACTGATTGAGCTAGTGGCGTACCTTGAAAAGCAGTGCTGTGAAGATAATCTGCTAAAAGGTCGTTATGGTTTTTATCATGTTCGATCATTTCTAAATACACAGTGCACTTTTGTTGATCGATATCGGTCGGACAGTAGGAGTTATTGAAGACGCAATCAGCTAGTATGTCGATAACAAGAGAAACATCTTCACATAGACATTCAGCATAGTAGGCAACCATTTCCCTACCAGTGAAACAGTGAAACTGGGCCCCCGTAGAAGACATTTGGTCCTCTAGGACAGTTTTTGCTCGAGCGTTGGTACCTTTGAAAGCAATATGTTCGAAGAAATGGGTAATGCCATTCTCAAAATGACTTTCGTATCTAGAACCTCCATTTATGTACATTCCAACGCATGTATTGCGGCATTCCCTTTGTTCAGTTGCAATAGTAAGCCCATTGGTTAGTACCGAAACTTCAGTTGTTGGTATATTTTTAAGATAGTTATGAAATATGGCCGGATATGGTTTATTGCGTACGTTATATTTAAGTGGTAAACATATAATAGTCTTTAACACTTTAGGAACATGAAACATTTCGGAATATTAAAACTTGTGTTTGTTTTGAAAGAAAAGGGAAAGTAAGGCTAAGGCACATAGGTAATAATAAAAAATGACAGGTAGTGTCAACCAGTGGTTTAATTATTTTTGTAGTCTTTTTGATATTATATATAAACTTCTTGTTGATATATAGCTGATCATCTATGATCCACGCCCCATTACCCATTAGCTGTTGTTCTGAATAACCTATACGTTCATGATACTATCCTAGATCTAGAAATAAAACTGAGTTGAAAATTTTTATTTAAAAGGTGATTAAAAGGTAAATTTAAGAAACTTCTGTTGATGGCGATAAATAACCTAGATAAAAGTAGCAATTATTTAAGCACGGCCAGCCCGACGTGGATCATTTTCACATATTTCTTTAATATTAAGAAGTTATATTTAACGCCGCCCTCCACGTCGATCAAATATATTTGTACAACCTAATACTAAGAGAGTATCTTAATTTTTGTATCTTTGAAGCATAGAGTTATGATTAAGATATATTAAGATATCGTATATTAAATACCTATAATCTATGCTTCTTTAGGTATTTTAGGTCAACCGAAGACATCATTTTATCTATGGAAGTCATAGATTTATGAATAAAGCTAAAGAGTAAAGTATATTTTATATGACATACTTTGAAGACGTTTTGGTTATTGTCCAAATTAAACTGAAATTTGTTATCAAGTCGTGGTAGGAAGTGGCGTGGAAGGGCAACGCCATAAATTAAAAAAGAAGAAGTGGTGTGGAAGAAAAAGAACAAAAACATTATTGAAAATGTCACGTAAATCTGTATGGTATGCATCACACATATTAAAACTCAGTCAAAAGTATTGCACATGCCCGTGCACACCTTCGAGTACACCTAGAAATACACAACTGACTCTGCTAGAGAATGGGGTCCGTGTAGCTACTGAGGCAACAGATTCTTCAATGGCATATTTATCACTATATATTGAAGCAGGTCCTAGATTCGAAACAGCCTGTAACAATGGTATCACACATTTTGTGGAGCGAATGGCATTTAAAGGATTTAATTGCATGAAGAAAGACGATCTCAATTTATATCTACTGAATGCCGGTGCAAAAATGTCATCGCAAACATTTCGGGAGATTCAAATATTTTCAGCTAAATGTCTCCCGCAATCCGTGCATGATATTGTAAGTCTTTTAGCCAGCATTATCACCGACTTAACGCTGTCGGAATGTGAAATCGAAAATGAGAAATTCAACATCGAGCAAGAGATAATTGATGAAGAGAATGATCCTAGACAAGTTCTGTTTGATTATCTTCATCAAACTGCTTTTCAAGGTACTCCACTCGCTCAACGCGTTATTGGAACGTCTGAAAATATTTCACGCTTTGATAAATTTTCTCTATCTTCTTTTATGGCAGATCATTATCAGCCGTATAAATTGGCACTTATCAGTGTAGGTAATGTTGACCATAACAGTATGGTAGGATACGCTAACACGAAGTTTTCACATATGGCCGGTGACCCTTGTTGCGCATCAGATGAAGGTCCAACTCGTTTCACAGGTTCTCAAGTAACCTTTAGAGACGACTCGATGCCTTATGCTCATATTGCTGTCGCTCTTGAAGCCCCCGGATATGGTGCTCCTGATTATTTAGCTCTTATGGCTGCTAAGACTATGATTGGAACTTGGTGTAAGAGTCAGGGCGGTCTAGAAAATAATCCATCGCCTCTAGCTAGAGCTAGCTCTGTAGCGAATCTTTGTGATTATTATGAGGCATTTTATATTCCATACAGAGATACAGGGCTTTGGGGAATTTACTTTGTGTCCAAGAAGATGGATGTAGAAGATATGTTGTATAACGTGCAAAAAGCTTGGATGAATATGTGCGTCACGATTCAATATTATGACGGGGAGCGGGCAGTTAATGCTTTGAGGCTGGAATCAGCTAAAAGATTCGATGGTGCATATCGTTCATGTAAAGACCTTGGTTTCCAAACGATGTATTCATGTGGCAGGCAAGGAATTGCTGACGTAATGTATGATCTGAAAGGAATCAATTATTTGAATATTGCAGGTGCCATGGAGAGATGGATATACGATAGATGTCCAGCTGTAGCTGGTGTAGGTCCTACTGAGGGTTTACCTGACTATACTAGGATAAGAGCTGGTCAGTACTGGCTCAGATTATAACAGTCAATGTGAGACACGACTATCTTATTTGGTTAAAAGATTTTTTTATTTATTTTATTAAATAAAAAACTTTAAAGCGATTATGTATTTCATTTTAAATTGATTTGAAAACACAAAATTTACTTATAGTGTCAGCAGTAAAAATACGACTTCCAAAAAAGAGAATACTGTTTTAAGGGAGCTTTTTTCCCATAATAATTTTGAAACTGATTAACGGCTACGAATATAGAGTACTTAAAAATGTTATGTCCCGACCGACACTGGCTACATGTTTAAAAAAATATTCAGACTAGCCTTAATATTTAGACTACTAGCTTCCCGCAAGCGGATTCGTCAGTGTAGTTCTGGGTTGCGACTTAGTTCTATACTGTTTATAGATTGCGGAAGTGTGATGTCATTTATTAAAATACTAGTGGACGCCCGCGACTTCGTCCGCGTGGAAGTCGGTATCCCGTGGGAGTGAGAAGTTTTCCCAGTAAAAAGTACCCTATGTGTTATTCTGATGTATAACCTATATTGCTGTAAAGTTTTATCCAAATCCGTCCAGTAGTTTTTTCGTGAAAGAGTAACAAACATCCATACATCCATACTTACAAACTTTCGCCTTTATAATATTAATAGGATAGGATAGGATTAGTGAAAACTCTCACAACGCGTTGTGGCAATCACGGAAAGACCACATTGCGAAATTTTTCTGTCTTGACTGACACGCTATGTAGCCTCAACGCTAAATCTGTTTTTTTTTTTTTAAATACAGTAATCCCAAAATATAAAATAAATTTTTATTTTAATGTTACTATTTTTTATATGTAATATCATATATGTCTCTTAAAATTTAGGAATTAAGAGTCACAGTGGATTGGAGTATTTAATATATTTCACGTTGAAAATAAATAAAAGTCAGACGAGAGTAAAGAAGAGAGTGACATAAAAACAATAAACAGTGTATTATATATTAATTCAAAAAAGGTACACGAAATGATGCCAGTGTCTGATGAATAGAAAAAGGTTTTATCTACAATGTTAAGCAGTGATTTAAATATTTTTGCATCATTAAGGGCGTTATTAAATTTTCTACGGGATAAAAAATGTTTTCTAAGGACACCATAACATCTGAGGTTAGTAGGATTCACATGGTAAAATACTGTGTCTCGATTAAATATGGTTTATAAAAAATACATTTGCAGTTGGGAACCTCAGATTATAAACTGTTCCTCGGAACGTTACGCCGTTTAATATAAGTATTATTTATTTACAATTATTATATAAGTTCTCCTTCTCTGCTCTCGGTTACTAATTGTCTTACATTTATAGATACGAATACACATATTTAATATGTAAATCGTATTTAATATACACTCATACATATTTATATTTAAGTGAATTAATTAATTTTATAGAAAAAATATTAACTGAGAATTTTATAGGTTTATATTTTTATTTTATTAATTTAGGTGTGTTTTAATTTATTATAAAGTTTTATCAAGCTTATTTGGATATTATTTATTAATTACATAAAACTACTCCTTGCTTCAGTATGCACGTCATTGGTCCCGCCTGCATCTGCATTCGTTAACACCCACTAACACGCAATGGGCCCAAGTTGTGGTTCATTCTAACTACTCGATTTGATGCGATTTCATTCATAGGGAAAGTTTGAGCCCTAGCAATAGGGACATTAAAAGGCAGGTGATGATGATTAAATTAAACGAATAACTATTCATTTGTTGTCATAATTATATTCTCTTTTTTTTGTGAAAGAGAGTAATTCATTCGAATAATCAATTTTTTAATTATTTTTCGACATTGTTAGTGTAATATTCCAATCAAACTATATTGTTCGTTCTAAGGTTTATTTTTATTATTCGGTGTAGCATCATTTGGTCCTTTTCTCACGATTATTCTTCCGGTACTGCTTACAAAAGGAAAACCAATATATTTTTTCTCTCATCACAAAGAGGCAGGCTTCAAAAGAAATTACGCGTTGATTTTCTACATGACGATGTCTCGTTGTTGCTGTGAAAACAGTAATTACATAAGAGTTAATGTTACTTGTTGCAATTTTAATAACTTACATAAATAATAAAATCATTATGGGTCCGGAAAAAAATCCTTTTTTTTAATTATATTTCTTTGGTCGTACCTCCTTTTTTTTTTACGCAGGGAAAATGCACCTTAAAGCTTAAACCAGGAATTCTCTTCCATTTATTTATGTGAAGAGGTGGTAATAAAACTTTTTCTGGCGGAACTAACGTCGTATTGATGACGTTTTTCTCGCCTGGGGTTAGGTTTTCTTGGAGTGGCCATTCAGTTTTTGTCCAATGCAGATGTCTGGCTCTGTTGTCCCATAAGCACAGAAAGCAAGGGTTATTTTTGATAACCTTCCTGTTGACAAAACAACATGGTTAGTATTTTGAAGTCTCTGCAAACCATACATTGGTGTTCTTGATATTTGATTTTCTCAAGAATCGTAGCCAAGTCATTATAGTTTTCTTACATGTGAACCGATTAACCCACAGGAAGAGATGCAAATACATTTCCATTATATAGTAGGACAGCTTTGAGGTTAGTTTTCGAAGAATCGATAAATAGGCGCCATTGTGATGAACGATATTCTATTTTAAATATACATAAGCAGTATATATAAGAACATGGATGACTTACCAGTTAACTTAACACAGCTACCCTATAAAATTGATATACTTGTCTTGAAAGAATGCAGACTGAATGCTAATAAAAAAATTCCAATTAAAGGAAATTAAACGGGACACTACACTAAACATCTTTATATCCAAAATGATGGTGTTGTGGTTTATGTC